ACAAATGAGTACCCCCCCCCCCCCCCCTTCGTGTAGACCAATTTCATATCATTACAACTATCAAGGACACACACCCGATGAAAATATGTATGTACAAAAACAACGATAGTCAGCCCAGTCAACCAACGAGCCCCTTGGCACCTTACGAACAAAGAAAACAAGGCGCAATAAAATTACCGTTGTTGTTCTCACACGATGAGTCCTAGCCTCCCGGAGCCCGCAAATCTCCCTTCCGAACCCCACAAACCTATCAACCAATACTTGTCAAGAAGCTGTTACAACTACTAACAACGTCTAGTACAGTATTCATTTACCGGGTTGTTGCTTTTGTTGCAAAAAAAATATGAGGCACAAAAAGCATGGTAAATAATACGCCGGACCCCCCCCCACCCCCGAAACACGTTCGAATATCCACGGAGTCACCGCGCCCCAAGAGATCCGTTCATGAGGCCGAGATAAAACACATCAGAGATATGTGGAAACACCAAACCGAGGCAGGTATGCACCATCGATATCTTCCTACATACTAGGTGAATACCCACCAAAACCAACGACGACGTGTCCTCCAACGCATCGAACCAAACTATGTAACAAATTTCACTGGAGGACCACCCCGAAGTACACATTTTCGCGCAAAGGTGATAATGGGATGATTGATGCGAAACAGGAAGCAGCAAATAAAATGAAGTGAAGTCAAAGTGAGTGACCGAAAGAGACGACACGCCTACTCGAATGACACGGCGGCTGCATACCTGCATACCGCCACAATCAACTCTCCACTTCGCCGGACATCCCTCCTTAGTCTCCGCCATGTGCCTGCATAGCTCGACCCTCTTCCCGTCCAAAACAGCACCACGCACGGAGCCACTGCGCGGCAAAAAAAAAGCCATCACCGTAGCAAAGACCAAAATCAACCATTAACATCGCTCACGTCCCAACCTTAATGAGCCATTCATTCATTGGTTACGCCTCGCATCCTGCCTGGTTCGCCTGGTTAGAGATTCTAGCGGCAACGCGTTAGAAGAGTCTACCCCCCTCCCCCCCGTCTGTTAACCTCCGCAGCCACAATAATCGAAACTCCTCGGTTTGACCAGGGCCGGCATCAAGCCACGCAGCAACACACAGCAGTAGTACAAAGCAAGCACTCCGAATCTGCCGCCAGACACACTACATGCGTGCCCTTCTTGCGTGTGCCTGCCTGCCTACCTGCCTGCCTCTCTCTTTCGCTATCGTAAACGGGACACGCGGCATCGCGCGCGTGATAGCCCAGCCCACATCACCACCCTACCGTTATCGCCGTCCCCTCCGTTTTCTTCGTGGAGACGGACGCTACAACCACCAACAAACCAACCAACCGACCTTAACAGGTACAAGTACAAACTACCCCTTTTTCCTAGAAACCCTCGGATAAACACGGCACAAGAAAATCCGTAATTGCCGAAAAGAGAAAAAAACGCTTGCCGTACAACACACTTGACTGCTATGTGTGTCCTAGCGGAAAACAGGCAGACATGCCGCCCTAGATCTGATATATTTCATGCAGCAGCCTCCATGGCCTTCGCTCTTGCCGCCTATGGCGAACCAATAGTCTTACCGCTTTGTCGCAACCATACACAACGCAGAGTCTCAAGAAAGCAACCAAGTCCCATGAGGGCACGACAAGACGAGGCCAAAGTCGCCTCGACGAAATAATGCTCGATATGCACTTATATTATAATACGTTCGTGCGTATTCTTATACGCACCACGACCGAACGCTTTTCCTCTTTCACCTACTGTACGTACGTAGCCCACACGCTCGTTCTCAGCGCTCCAAACAAAGATCCAACTCAAAGAATGAAACCTCTGGACGCGACAATATTTAAGAGTCCGATTTACTAGTTGTTCCGCTGTTATTTCCGCCTTCTAGTGGCGCTTTTTGCCTTCTCTCGCCACAGCACCCCCTCTGGCGATCGTACCCACAATCTAGTCACACACGTTTAGAGAATGGCCCGTCCATTCTATGGCCAAAACAAACGGACATTGAGACTACAGTAGGATGACAGAAAAAATGTGCTAGATCACTCACTGCTGCTTTTTACTGCCGCAGAAAAAGGGTGAGATGAATGTTGCAGATTCCCGTCTGCGCGAAGATAAATCAATGGGAAGTTCGAAAAAAACAAGGAAGGAAATATATAGACCAAAAACCGTGCCTTTTGAACACCAACCACCGACAGCGACATCGGGGATTCCCGTCTGCGCGAAGATAAATCAATGGGAAGTTCGAAAAAAACAAGGAAGGAAATATATAGACCAAAAACCGTGCCTTTTGAACACCAACCACCGACAGCGACATCGGGGATTCCCGTCTGCGCGAAGATAAATCAATGGGAAGTTCGAAAAAAACAAGGAAGGAAATATATAGACCAAAAACCGTGCCTTTTGAACACCAACCACCGACAGCGACATCGGGGACACTGGCTCTACAACCGGAAAGAAGGGCTTCTCGGCAAGAAGGAGACAGACGGACAGGCAGACAAACAGGCAGACAAACAGCCAGAGACAGAGCAAAACAGCAGTAATAGTTTGACCTTCGCAACGCAAAATATAACAGGTAGACAGACGCGCACCACCACCGCTCGGAGAGGGGACGGTGGAAACAAACACACACACACACACACACACACACTGAGGCCAAAGCTTCGAGTGGCGAAGCTTTTCCTTCCGAAAAACAGCCCAGCCCCGCCTCCGTAACAACGGGCGAACGGCGGGACATCACCATAGTACCGCGTTCTAGGCGTACTCGTGACTGTGCCGTTGCGGCAGTGCGGTACTACGTTGTACCGCCAACCAAGGAGACGTTGCCTAGATCTACCTAATGGATGGAACACCTCTCCGTGGCAGCGGGGGGCGTTCCAATCCCGCTTGTTGTTGGAGGGACGTAAACCTACAGAAATCCGTAGACGCTGCCGCTGCTGCTACCCTTGGCACCACCGCTGCCGCTGCTGGGAGTTCAGCATTTGCTGGACCAAGAACCTGTTGAAAAAAAAACACCCTCGCTCCCTGCCCCCCCCCCCGACGCCCCTCGCTCCTCCGCCCCCCTCCCCGTCCCGCGTGTGGCGCAGGATATTAAACTTGCCCAACCGATCGCTGAAACAAGGAGCAAACAACATCACCACCATACCACCTGACCCGGAAATACTCCTCCTTGAACACCTCTATGTTGCTTTTGACCCTAAAAAAAAAAGGCCAAGGGGGGGATCAGGAGGAAGCGCTGGGTGACGGGCCGCGCGGGCCCCACCCGTCGCCACCGCCACCGCCACCGCCACCGCCACCGCCGTCACTACCACCCCCGGCGGCCCCCACCGCCTTTCTCAGCTGCACGTTGTCGTTTAGGAGCTGGCGGTTGATCTGCCTCAGATGCGTATCGTTCGCCGACCACCGGAGCGCCTCCTCTTTCAGCTCGGCGATCTCTTGTTCCTGTTTTTTTTTTTAAATCAACCCACGGCAAAAAAATATAATAGTCAACGAATACGTAAAGCATACACGCACGCACAAAAACGGCGTACCATGTTTTGAGCAATTTCATGCTCCGCATACCGTAGGTAACGTATGAGATAGATACCACACCCTCTGGATCGATTTTCAAAGCTCCACTACTCCGCGACAAAGAGCGTCGGTATATGGAGGGGTAAAAACAACGACGCAAACGCGTACACACAGACCGAGGGTTTGGGCATGATGAGACAAATGGCGGCGGCACAAGGGCGGTGCTGTACGCGTCGCAGGATGTCGCCGCCGGTGTGCGCAGGCGCGAGGAGCCTGACGACGAGGCAAAAAACAATAAGAACAATTCCGGGGTTGATGGTGGAGGTGAAAGTGTTGCTCTCGAAAGGATTTTGTGCGGGCGTGGAAAAAGACCGGCACGAAAAGTGAGAAGAAGGCGACAGTAACCACGCCCGACAACCCGTCACACTACTGTTTCCCTCCCTGCTGTATGCTATACTCCTTTATGTATGTCCTTTGTATTGCCTTCGGCCTCTGTGCTATGTTTCTTTTCTTTTTTTTTCATGTCCTCCCTGCCTACTCTGCTGTGTTGGGTACCTTGATCTCGCCATTGTTGTTGTTACTTTTGTTTTTGTACATCTGGCTGCCTGCCCATCTGCCGCCCCTTTGTCCTGTTTGCTCCGTTACTCCCATGCCCTGGTGCGTAATGCCTGGTGCTGGTACGTTACCCTTTGATTTTTTCTTGAGGCGGGCGTGGGAAGCGCCCTCCTTTGTTTTTGGTTTATTTTGATCGGTTTCCGAGGGCTCTTTTCTCGAACGGTCGGTGCGGTACCTGTTATTTTCTTTTTATCATTTTGTTTTATTTTTCCGAGTGGTTTGTACCCTATTTTTGTTTTATTTCCGTATGTGCCGGGTTTTGAGACCACGGGCTCCCCATATATTGTGGACTATAGAGCTAATGTGAGAAACAACAACAACAACAACAACAACAACAACAACAACAACAACAAACTACCACCACGTACTGCACACGGTTGCGAAGACCAATTTTCCCTGGCTTCTTCACCTGCCCCCCCCCCCCCCCCCCCCCCCCCCCCCCCCCCCCCCCCCCCCCCC